TTGGCTAATTCATTGGTAAACTTATTGTTTAAGTACCTCTTAAGTTTATAATATTCACAACCTCATTGATATTCATTAATATACTAAAAAAAATAGGGATTTACGGGAAATCTCCGAGAAATTTCTGTGTATTTTAATAATACATTGATGGTACAACTGTCGAAGGAAATGCAAAAACCGAGATCGATGAATTTATCTGGATTTGACGTTTTTACTCCACAAAAATTGGTTAAGCTTACTTCAGTAGATGCTATTAATGTTCAATTAAGGTTAAAAGATTGCTTATCCCAACAAATATAATCGCTGATGATCATACAGAAGAAACATCCATATTTCTTAGAATGATAAGTGGGAATTTAGATGTTGGAGTCGATGAAAAGTTTTCTACAGAAATGGAGCGAATTACTAAAAAGAAACCTCCAAAAGAGACAAATATCCAAATGATATTTACTGAATTTGGCAATTCATTTGAGGGTAATACTTCCCAAATCTTTAAAGATTTACTTCCATATCCCGAACAAGGAAAGATTTATATCGGGTTTCCAACTCATCAAACCACTGGATGTTGTTTTAATTTTGCAGCTCGTGTAATTCCCACTGTATGTACCTGTATACCTATATTTGTTTAATTGATTTTTGTTATTAATTTGTTCATCTTATGCTAATTAGGTGGTCCGAGAGTCGATTGACTTGGTAGAAAAAACTTTGGCTATATATAACGAAGTGTTGCTACGTATAGCAGGAACATTGTGTCGAATTGTATATGAAGATGAAATGAGTCAAATAAAACAAATTTATAATGAAACGTCTGGCGTTGACAATGAATCTGACGATGAAAATACTAGTAAGCCCGTAAACGGCTTGAAAGTCGAGCAGTACATGTTTTGAAACACTTTACGTTCCAAAAAAGTACGCCGAATTCACGCGTTGGAGAAATCATAGAATCTCAATTTTTCAATTGCTTAGAACAAAAATTATCTATTTTGTCAAAAAATGGGTGTATCCAATATCTAGTGTTTTCATTCCTAATCCAAGAATGGCGGGATTCATAAAAAAAGTTCCAGTCGTTTCAGATATGATATATGAACGATGTGGGACATTTTTTATAAAAGCATTTGCAATGAAACTTATAAAAAAATTAACCTTTCAAGAGGTTATACGTGAATTGAAAAGTCGAAGACTTTGTGAAGATGAAATTATTGAGCTTTTGGAATGGTGGATTTTTAATAGGTCAAATGGAAATAATAATAATTTAGAGAAATCAGAGTTCATGCAATATGTTATGATACGTATTGGTGAGCCTTAAACACATTTAATCATTTCTTGAATCCGGGAATAATCCCAAAAGATATGGATTTACCGATTGTAGTTCTACCATATATCATTTCTAAAAGTTTACAATGTAAA